GTCTGTGTACTTGTAGGAGTTTACATTTTCAATGGGTTTACCTTCAGTAGTGAAAGTAGTAAATTCATCTGGCTGTTGCAAGTGAGCTTTTGAGAAGACCGTAAACTAGATTTAAATTCAGCAGAGCTGTTTGTAAAGAGTGAAAGGCTGTCTGAAGCACCTGCAATGGATTTTTATTATCAATCAATCTATACCAGAAAGAAAAGTTCTTATTTTTATGCATATTTCCAAAGTGGACAGCATGTTTACACAATGCTGTATGTATATCATAAATCAGTAGTGTGAAACCACATTATAAATGCAAATAGGTGCATGTTTACTGACTAAGCATGCCTGTATGTGCATGTCCTCTTTATAAATAATGAAATGTGCTGTCAGCTACTGTGGGAAAATACTCATTACAACACTGACTCGTAAAAAGGAAAACATAGACAGGCTTGAAGGAGAGGTGCTCTACAAATCAACAATAACTGTTTACTTGTTGTTGTTGCAAAAGTGAGGCTGAAGGTTAGTTTGGTGTGTACTTTTTCCTCGCGCCTAATTGGGTTAATTAATCTGGCTTCAGATCTGGAGCATAATAAGATTAAACATTACCATCGGTAGTGGACTTTCCAGCCCATCAGATTTACACTCAGGTCCCCAGTGATCTGTTTATTTTCAATTAGGTCTGAAAATGAGGAACGTTCTGGCAGAGTGCGGGGGAGGAACAGCACCTCTCTGAAAGTCTGCCACGGCCTGCTGCTCATGTTCACACTCGTCTTCTGTGGCAACTCCTACTTGGTGAGCCTTCCTCCCGAATACAGAGATACAGATGTACACACTCTTTCACACAACACACACACACACACACACATACAACAGTAGCATACACACAAATGGATCCATGTTAAAACAGATCATATTCGAGGGCTTCGGGGAATTATTGACACATTTTTGGCAGGAAACTGTATATCGATAAACGATGTACACATGGTGTGCGTCTTTTTTTCTGTCAAGAGGCAACATTTGGATTTGTACAGTACATATATACATAATTAATATTACTGTATCAAGTGGATGGATTTGTGGACAGGAAGCAAATGATGGGCAGAGAAACAAGCCACATAAAGTTGTCTTCAGCTGAGCTTCACTTGGGTGATCCAGCTGTTAGTCGGGTTAGTCTCAGTACGCTACAATGAATATTTAACATGCCAATAAAGATCAGCATAAAGCGACTCCAGAAAACTGTGACGATTACTTATTAAAGACTGCAACAACACGCTGATACTCAAGTGAAATCCTATAAAGAGAATTTTTCAGAATCATTCATAATGGAGTCCAATTATAGACTTGTTGTTCGCTGGTTTACATCGATTTTGAACTGGTGTGACACCCGCTCTATTTTGGGATTGAGATCAAATCAACTCAGCATCAGAAAAAAGACCGATATGAATCTCTTTAAAGTTATATCCACAATCCTTACTTTTCTAAAGTTCGTGGCTTGGCTTGTTGAAGACTTGGATAAACTCACCGCCCACTCAACTTACCTCTGTTTAAACTAAAATCAGAAAAGCTACTAAAAACAGTTTTTGTTTTACTGGTTCTCAAGGATCAGAAGTTAAAATCTACCATTTGGCACAATGTAGCCACTTCCCAATACTGTTAAACTAGGGTGACCATATTCTGAATCCCCAAAAAAGAGGACACCACTATGTGGGGGCAGAATTAAAGTTAATTTTGAGTGTTTTTCGGGTCGGATCGAGTGTCTTTTACACGCTTCTAACTCAGTATGTCCACGTGACACAAACTCAAAACTTGCGTACGAAACCGCAGACATTTGAAGGATTTTATAAACTTCTCTGGACAAAGCCGGACAGGCCCCAAAAAAGAGGACATGTCTGGGTAAAAGAGGATGTATGGTCACCCTAGTTAAACTAATCCTTGCTGTAATGAATGCTGCTGTTTCACTGGCTTTCTTTAATTTTCTGTGGTTAAACCAAAAAATAAATACTTGGTTGTTTTTGGTTAGATGGCACAACCGATGGTCCACAGGATACATTTACCTTGTAAAGGTACACAGTGTAGCTTTTGCAGGGGAAGGCTGATCTTGTATGACAAGCTCTATTGTCATCGCTGTCAGACAGATACTGTACAATATGTCTATCAAAATTCACAATATATGAGTGTATAAGACAAAAGTCAAGTTGAAGTTTGAGAATATTTTTCAACACATGGCAAAAAAAAATTTAATAGATCTTTCTCCTACAGCAACATCAGTGCTTTGTTGACTCTGACTGCTATCTGCAGATAGTCCAACTTGTAATTTAAGTCTCTAGAAGGTTTCTCACTGGGGTTGGTGCCCCCATGGCTTCATGCAGTTGTATATCCCATACCTATGATTACCCCAAGTGTTCCCAATCTGGAGACATCCCTTTGTGTTTTGTCATAAACTAGCAATGTAAGATTAACTCTAGTTTGATGCACATTTTTATCCAGTCGTTGGATTATTTTTATGAAATAGGTAGAAGACAGTTTCTTTTTTTTAAGAGTTGGATAATAGCTGTTGTTTAATTTGAAACCCAGGGTGTGTATCTGACAGAGTATGGTCTCAGTGAATGATTATCAGACTCACTTTTAAAAATTATTTTCTGTAGTTTCTTTATATCAAAACCATTCAGAAACCTTTTTCTTTATCTAAGTGAAATGACTCACCCAAAAGTTCAAATGACTTCTGAGATTATGTTGACTTGAGATAGGGCCGAATTTTTCCACTACATGAACTGATAATCTTGAATCTTTTTAGCCACTCTTGACCGTATGTTCACCGTAACTTTTAGAAATGAAAGATTGTTTTTAGGAGACCTTTTCAATCACATATAGAGATGATAACAGAATCAATCAAAATGTTCTATTAACTGAGAACAACTGTCGAAGCAGAGCTATGAGGTACTTTAATTTCAGTTTGGTTCCAATTAAAAGTTTTTGCTGAAGCTTTAAATGAAAAAAATATCGGAAGTAATGAAAAAGAGAAAAGAAAAAACAAACCTGGATAATTTTAGAGACATAATTAAGGCTTTGCAACACAATAAAATGTTAACATTGATTTTGATTATGCATTTTGTCACAAAAAAGTGATTAATTTGAGCCGGAACTAGCTCACTGAACACTACCAGCCAAATAAAGAAATGTTCACAAATCCTTTCCCCGAATCCAAGGCAAAAGTGTAGTCATTGAGTGATTGGTTGATGCTTGGCCTCGCTCAACCTTTATTGATCCACTTCCTGGGAGGGCAAAATGAAGGACGCAACCATCAAATGGATATGAGGAAAATGGAAGGGAGAGGTGAAGGAGATGATGAGACATGGGAGCAAAATGTTGCCGAAGGAAGAAAAGTGGATGTAGGAGAGGGGTGAGTGGATGGCAAAGTCTAAAAAGTGTTCAAAGACAGATGTGGTGCATTTATAATGGGAGTAATATTGAAACAGCATATCCGGATTTACATAGTGATGTTCTGTAATTTTACATCCTTTCAAGGCTCCAAAAACCCTTCATGCCGTCCTCTCCCTGTATCTTTACACCAACGAAAGAGTATTTCATCTACGGTAAAAGCTCATCTCTTCACTCTGGAGTGTCAGTGCATCAGTGAAAATACATCACAGAGAGGCGGCAGTCAACTTCAGCCCCAACACTGACAATAAATCTGACGCTGAGAGGGCCTTGTAGGGTGCGTGAAAAAAAGTCGTTCTCGCTGATGAGAAAGGTACATGACGCAAAAGGACACTCCATCTAAAATGAGCTTCTGTCAACACAGAGATGGGGGAGATGGAGAAGGCAAAGAGAGGGACAAGCAGTGGATATGAGAAAGACACGGGATGAGCAGTTGTCTTCACAGCACCATCATATTCCTTGAAACAGTCAACAGGACACTCTGAAAAATACAGTTGATTCGAAAAGAGGGATTAATACTGCAGGGAGGTGGACAATTGAGGAATACACCACGGTGTAAAAGAAAAAAAAACGGTTGGAGGTGAAATAACAGCCGCCAGCTGGAAGATGAATTTCTGTTGGCCGAGGGTTCTGCTGGGAATTCAGCACTCACTTGACCTTTGAATGACTCTCCATTGTACACACACATTGCGTTGGTAATAGCAATTTGAGCCTTTTTCTGTTGTGGCAATGTTTTCCCTTTCCACACTCGAAAAAATATCTAAAATATGATCAGTTAAACATTATTAGTTTTAGTGTCAGTTTTAGTTTTTCATGGAATATTTGTCAAGGGCAAGAAAACACTAGATACTCCAACATTTTATTTGTTAGCAACAAGATTTGAGTTAAAAATAAAATGGCCGATTTCACAATGCAGATAAAAAAAATGATACACTTTACAATAACCATAACTTATAAATGGTAAACATACCATTTATAAATGGTAAGCAGATAGTTTATTAATGTTTAATCATCATTTATAAATAGCATATAGACCATTAATAAATTGTTAATTTTACAATTTTAAAAACCTAACCCTAACCCTAACTTTACAATAACCACCTAAATAATGTTTATAGGTGGTTTATAAACCACTTATTAATCATTTACAATAGTGCTACTGACACACATTTTAATCTAGATGTTTTACAACCAATATTTAAACCCTATACAAACCTTTAATAAATTGTCGATTAATAATTATTGACAATTATCAATCATAATTTTTATTGCTTGTTAATGGTAACGTAACTATTAACTTACATTGATAAACTATCTATGTGCCATTTATAACTGGTCTATATGCTGTTTTTAAATGGTGATTAAACATTAATGAACTTTCTATTTACCATTTATGGTTATTGTAAAGTGTTACCAAAATGATTATTATTTATTTGGTTGCAGGTTCACAAACTTCATGCCACCACAACGATGTGAGTGCAGGGCTGGGGCTCCTCAGTCAAATAGGTCTGGACACGCCCCTGTTTGTAGGTTGTACTTTGCACAAACAAGCTCTTGAAAATCACCTATATGATCTGGAATATAAAAAGAGCAGAGTATCACACTCTGCTGTAATGAACTTGCTCCTCCAAAGTGTGTTCGTGAAAATGAAAGGCATCCTCTCTGTTACCTCATTTTGTTTCAGTTAGCTTTTTAAACACATAATACATTTTTTAGTTATTTATCATGGTTTAACTTTGTTTTCAGTTAACGGAAATGTTTTGGCTGTTTGAGTTTTCATGATTGTGTTCATTTTGGTTAATGATAATAACCTTGGACTGGACGCTGATGTGAGAGCCTCCTGAGGAGCGGCTGGGCCCCAAACCATCTGTGAGGGGAGAAGTGCATGAAGACCCTGTCCTGTGACCCAAGCAAAAGCAACAGAGCTAGTAAGAGAATTTTTCAAAGGTACGACATTTTAAGGTCAACATAAATACCCCTGGAATAGCTGTTGCATATAGATAATAAACATTTATGCAATTAATATCATCTTGAAACGTGTTCTTCCTGCTCACCCTGTTAGGATTTAAATTTGAATCCATGGAAGTAGTATGTTCACCTGAATACTACACTCATACCTGCAGAATAAACAAATTCGTAAATAAACCAGAATCAGTAACATGCTGTGCTTTTGTTACCACATCGAAGTGAACTCGCACTTAGAGCAGTGATTCATAGAGAAATATTGTGAACATGTCCCCTCTCTGTGTGTGATCTCTGCCTAGACAAAGAAAGAAAGGAGTTGTTTTAGTGTTTGCTGCTCAAATGTGTTGTGATATCAGCAGCAAGCTGACATTTTTAATGTCAGCCTCCACAGCTGAGCAATAGCAAGGAGTCTTGAAAAGGCAGACCTCTTGAACTTTCTACCTTGTACTCTGCAGAAATCATTTGAAAAATACAAAAGGCTTTTGCACTAAAAAGCAGCTTGGATCCCCCTCTTTTTTTGTAAAACTTGTAAATGCAACCTCAACACAATGCAGTTTGTTGTGTGCTCATTTCTGTGCGTATTTTGTACTTTATTTTTCAGGCATTAGAATCCCCACTGGAAGGAGAGACTTCATACTTCTGCACAGTTTAAAAAAATGAGGTGATTTCACATTTAGTTTGATCTTGATTTCAGCGAGAACAGTTGCAATTTCATCATTAGTTTGCTCAAAGGTGCATGATGTATTTTGTAATGTTAGGCAGGTACATCATTACCTTATCATTCCCTGCTAAGGAGTTATAATGCAACTTTCAACTTTATATTTCTGCAGAGAGTTCTTTGATAATGGGGGAACTAGGGAAGCGCTTTAAAGTTTGGGAGTTTAATTCTTTGCACTTTACTTAATGAGTCTTTAAAACCTGGTTAAAGTTTTACTTTTATACCAAAGAGACAATCTGTTGTACATTTTCTACATATCTATATATTATTTATATTTTAAGAAAAATGTATTATTGTCACTACAATGTTACATCCATCCTGATAATAATTAGTGTTTTCCAAAATGCCAGGCGGTTGAAGAAATAGACTGTTTATACAGGACAACATATATGAAATAAACAGCACTTTAGCAAAGGTAATAGAAGTATTAGTATGAAAGATTTTTACTTAAGCACCTTCACAGCAGACTTCCTGTCACTGTTTTCCGTTCTTCGAAACAGAAAATTATGGTATCAGAATATTACAACATATTTAAATTCTCATTTTAGCTCCATTTAATTTAATTAATCAGAGCAAAGGACCTGAGAAATGACATGCATAAATTACAAGAACCCAAACTGTTCTGAGGCATTTCTTACTCCACCACAGCGAGAGAAGCAGGACCGGTCCAGCGCCTTGGAACCATTACAGCAGCTGTGTCACAAAGCTCCCTCGGCACATAACAATTTGTAATTTGTAATTACATGGATTGCTTGAAATGACCTCACTGGGAGACGATTCATTCTAAAAATCCAATTATTAAAGCGTTGAAGCCTCTAGCTGACAGATTGTAATTCTGAAAGGAAAATATGGGAAGAGGACGCACAGCCTTCGCTTTCCAGGGTCAGATGCCATTGAAACGCTGACAGCCTCTGAAAAAAAGTTATCACCTCTACGCATCTCCAAAATTCAGCTTCAATTTGCTTGTATGGAGTCGACCACTTGCCATGCTAATCAGATTTTAATCTCCATCTCCCAAAGTCAACGTTAGATCTCTCACTAATGTTCCAACCTGCTTTAAAAGAAAGCGACTGAAAGCAAATTAGCTTAAACACAAAGGCAGAGATGGGGGAGTGGTATCCGTCACTGTCAGCCAACACATCTGTCACCACTCATCAATAACTCTCAATATGCCTCACTCCTCTGCTTTTAATCAGATCCTCCACTATCCACTCTGCTAGTCTCACAGTTTGTTTCCACAGACTCTCAGTTTTGTCTCGACAAGCTGGCACGCTGTGACTTATGTAACAGACCCCATTTGAGAGCAGCGCAAACTAATATACATGCATCAAAATTCATATCTGTGGCAGGAGCCCTAAATTATTTGTGCAGCTTTTACAGCGCAAATTAAATCTCACAAAGATGTGTGTTTTGCTGTGCGGGTCCATCTATCTTTGTCTGGAGCAGTAATTAGATTATCACTGAGTTGATGAGCTCCCATCACTCGGCCACCCACTTATTGAGCTACACACACAAACACACACTCATGCTTTTCATTTACAAGAACACAAACATGCATAACGCAGACAAATAGACAGACAACCTGACTCTCTCAGGGAGTCTTCAGAAGGTAGAAGAAGACAGACCTTCCAGATTTCTATATTGTTCTGTTTGTGTCCAGGTTGTGTTTCAGTGGAATATATTACTCAATGTGAAACTCAGCTGAGTTAAATTTAAAATAAAGGCTATAAATAAAAGATGTTTTGGATAATATTGGCACCTTTGCCCCTCACTGTGGTTATGACTATTTAAAAATACAACACAAAAACACACATTTCTGTCATTGGTGATCTGATTTGGGCAGTAGGTCATAGAGAAGCATTTGCTTTAATTTTAACCTATGTACATTACCCACCAAAAACTCATCATAGTGGGTTTTTACCACTTGAAGTAAAAGTGCTTATTGTGCAGAATGGCAAATTTTCAGGTTCGATAATAACAAAGTACAGCAATGGGATGAAAATAAGGCCGGTGTTATATGTTGAGTTCTGTGATCTTTGTGTTTGGAACAATTTCTACATAATATTAAAGGTGCAGTGCACGAAATGGGGATATTTAGCAACATCTAGCTGTGAGATTCAAGAATGAAACGCTTCCTCGCCAACCTCTCCTATCACCGAGGCAACAATGGTGGCCTTCAAGAACCAAAAGCTGTTTACGTGATAAACATGGCATCATCTGCAAAAGATGCTTATATTTTCAACTGAGTCAAAGTATGAGGTGTAGATTTTTTTTTTTTTTTTGTCTTAATAACTATAGTTTACAGCTCAGTTGCAGCATATCAATCATCGAGTTTTTCATTGTTTTGGTAACTCAGGCTGACAATAAGTAATGCTAAACAAAGCTAACCTTTCTTACGTATGAAAAAAAGAAAAAAATCAAGCTATTTCTCATGAAAATAAAGTTGTGGTTGAAACATTTTCCCAAATGAAGTCTTACCCCCAATTTCCAGAATGGCTACAAAAAGGCCTTATCCATCGATCCCAGCTGATCGTAACCATTCAGCTTAATGTGTCAATTTCCACCTCTTCCTGTTCCACTGTGGATTGTTGGATGCTGCAGCTGATCGAAAGAGTTCGATGTTTTCAGCATTTCATCCCGGTAACACCATGGATGAGGAGATGGTGATTCCAAAGGTCTAGAAGTGGATTTTCTCCTCTGGAAGGACACAATCTACTGCTTATATGGTTATGTGGCTGTTTTTATAGAGACAACTTGTTATCGCACGACTGCAGGTCGGTGTAGTCAGGATATCTGATGTGAACAAAGCTTTGAGAAAAGACAGTTGTAATGTTACAAAATTAAAGTCATATTGCCACAAAAAATAAAGTCCTACTTAAATCATAATATAAATGAAGTCATCATGTTATGAGAATCTTGTGCCACCACTATGTAACTGACAAAAGTGGTTTGGCTTTTTCTAGTTTGTCTGTTCTGATTTACTGTAGAAAACATGGTGGTGCAATTTAGCAACCGGAGCAAGGACACGGTGCTTCTATAATATGAAGCCTTTTTCTAAGTCATCAAAATTAAACAAATATGGTGTTCATTCAATATAAACTGATTTAAAAATACTTCCATTTCTTTTGGGAAAAAGCCACTAAAATTCTACACAATGTACCTTTAAAGAAATCTTTAAAGCAGTTTGTGGCAAATAAAATATTCATTTTATGAAAAAATGGGCAAAGTTTGGATTCACAACAACTTATTGGTTTTCATTATGGAGGCAGATACATGAGAACACAGCGTACCCTGGAAACGCTGTGATACACGTTGCTCCTTTTTATCCGGCAGATGAAAAAAGTGTGAAATGAGTAGTGCTGTGAAGGAAGGATCTGCTGTCAGAACAACTCTGTGTAGCCGAAAAAAGAAAAACTGATTTTTTAAAAATATTCCTCTCAAAATAAATGATTAAAATGCTGTTTTAAGTCATGCAGCTTGTGTTTTGCAATAGATTTTATTTTTATTAAAAACTACAAATGGAAGTTTTTAAACTCCATAAATAAAACAAAGTCAATTTGGTGAAACATATGCATGCTAAAGGCTGCTGTGAGGGTGAGAGGAAACACAAACGATAAAAAGGGTGAGGGAGAGAGACAGAGCCAAGTGAATAACAGAAATGACTTGGAGGAAGTACAGAACACATCCCTCAAATGCCCTTTGAGAGTTATTAAGTTATTGATCAGTGCAACTATTGATGACTCATCCTGTTTATACCAGTTCCTCAGACCAGAGTTAATTATACTAAACCCGATCAATACTCAAAATAACAGCAAAAAGCAAGAAAATATTCCAGACCTCGACATGCTGCGATTTCAGAGAAGCTTTGTAATTAGAAAAAATTAAAGTTTGAATCAGACGACTGGAACCTCCTGTGTCTGGCACCATTGTGACACAATTATAGTAATTCCTCAGCACCATTAGAAAGTTTTACGAGTACTTCTGTGCATTCAAAAGCTTGCCTGGAAACCAAATTATGTTATCCGAAATGTCAATTTTCTCTTTTATTCCATTGTATCAAAAGATCATCTTAAGCTTGTGAGAGAGGAAGGAACATCGAACAACAGTTTTATATTTAAGTCGTATTAATGCCTGAAAACACTTTTGAAGACATGGGCAAGGTCGATGCAAAAGCAAATGAATGAAAATCCTGAATGCAATAAAAAAAGAAAACACCCTCAGGTTTAAGGTCAGCGGCTGAAGATTAAACTTTAAAGTAAGATTTTGTTGAAAGCACAGGAAAGAGCATTTTATATCAAGAAACTCTAATCCTATATCCTCAGAAGAAAGTGGAAAAACAGGGATTTGACCACATCTCTCTGGTAAGCATGTGCCCGCTCTGATTGTGTAACTTACATGCTTTCAGTTCACAGCTGGCTCTCAAAACAATCTTTCTTCAAACGCGGGACAATCCATCTGTCCTTTTCATGCTATTCTGTGCACAGAAAGAAGAAAAAAGGAGTGGTGGGAGTAACACATCAGAGAAAGAGATTAGAAAGATGCTATCTGCATCTGTGCATGGCCTCATCCAAACTATTAATCAAAGATTCATTTCCCACTTCATCAAGAGGACTGTTAATTCCTTTAGGAGATGAGAGCATTACTACATCTTTACCTCTGTAAGCTCTTCATTTTTCGCAGATTTAAAGCAGCATAGTGTCAGAGCTCATAACAGACCGGCAGCTCCACTTTGTTCTAAAAGCATTAGTCTCTTAATCTCTTCTTCTATTTTTTTTTGTGTGTGTAGGGGCGACAGGAGTGGTGCAACTAAGCCACAAGCGCTCGCAGAGTTAAGATGGGGAATAAATCAAATCTGCTCGAGCAGCTTATAGATGGGCTAAGATTGCAGGCAATGCTGTATCTGCAGGAGTCCACTTTTGCTTGTTTGTCAAATGTGCGTCTTGTTGAGGATCCGCTTGTATGGATATTGTGAATAATTTGTTTTGAACGGCACAAACAAATGTCAGTGTTTAGTGATTGCTATGTTGTTAGTGTAATGACAAACCTTCTTGCACACAAGGCAAACAACAGGTGGCCCTCCTCTCCAATTCGAAAAAAATTAATCCTTCATGTTTGCTTTTTTTATTTTAGTTGCTAAACCCACCTTAGCAGGCGTAAATCCATAAACACAGCTGTGCTGTTTCTACCATGCAGCCTTTGGCTAATAATGTTTGCACCATTCTGTGTACTCAATCCATAATTGCAAATAAGGCCGTGTTGATCAGGAGCACCTTGAAATTGATTGTTTTAGTCACAAACTCTGATATGACTCTGTTAACATGTCACTGCAACACACAAGGACAATTATTTCTATTGGCCGTGCACATATGGGGTAGTTAGTCAGCCAATTACAAGCAGGCGCCTCTGTCCTAGATCTTGAAGGATAATAGAGGCTGTAATTATGATGTGTTCGTTTTAATGGGGTTTTATTGACAAGCATGGAAGCGGCTCAGCCTTCACCCCTCAATTGTAGCTTATGAAAACAGCTTTGCAACTTAATCAGATCTGACATTGTATTTGACTTCATGACAACAGATACAGGTAGAAATACAGACAGAGGTATGAAGGAATGTTGGGGGCAGATACAGAGAGAAAACATATACATTTTCACTGTTGGCTTATATTATAAATATTAAAGTTACTTGTATAATCAGGGAAAATACAGATCAGAGAAATTTGCTTTTGATTGGTGCTGATAATATTAGTTAATATACAAAGAACTGATAAGTCTATATATGTATGCTACATCATCTTTACTGAATTTCTGCCTCAGTCCTGTCTTATAGTTTG